ACAGGTCGGAAATCGCAGGATGTTTTTGGTTGAAAAATTTGATGATAATTTTTGTTAGCGAAGACGATGAGATCGGGCCATTATCGAGTGCTTACGCAAAATAAGAAGAGATAGAGGTTGTTCGAGGGTGTTTCATTGGAATATTGATTTGAATCAATCCAATTAGAGAAAAAAAAAGGGCGATTTCCACCAACTAGAAAGGTTTTAATTCACCAAAAAAGAATAAATTTTGATCGAGCCATATTATTACAGGAAAACAGTCAACAGTACAACCAAGTTATGGTTCAATCTTGTCAAATACTGAAGGCATCAATTCATTCAAACAAACTATAGGGCACTTTAAGAGCTATTGAGAGCCATTTATATTGCCATGCGAGGCCTTGGGCTGGAGTTGCAAGTGCCGTCAATTCTGCAAAAGTTGCAAATTCTGAAAAATGGTCCACTAATATTCACAATATCATCATCCACGCCCACCATATATCCATCTTCCCTACTTATACGGCATATACTCAATCCTAGATCAAGAAGCCCCGGCATCAGAAGTTTTTCAACCTCCATCATTTCTCAAGGTGTTGTTCGTATACCTATTCGTTTGAAACGAAAACTTTCAAAAAATAAATCAAAATCTTTAGAACCAGCTCAATCCAGCATGGAATCACCACCTGCTAAGCAATCAATCACTAGTACGGCTTTCCTCCTTATTCACAAACAATTATATCAGGACATCGTTCCTTTCTTGGTCAAACACAAAACAGAGCTAACAGCAGAACAATTGGGTATGATCATGGCAGAATTAGAGATAAGGAGTAAACACCCAATTATCCTTGAACTATATAACCATTTCCCAGGTAAATCATTTGAAAAGGGACGGATCATAAAAATATTGATGCGTGTTTTTTCTCAACTTGAAGAATATTCACTTGTTGAAATTGTTTTTTCAAGATATTTGGAATTACCAGAACTCAAAGTTAGATATTGTAACATGGGTTTAAAAGCTGTCATTTTCAACGGTAATCAAGAGCTTGCCAAACAATTATTATATCAAATGGTCTATTCACATCTTCCCATGAATGATTCAACATTAAAGTCATTCTTATCTGCTGTGCAAAAGTCTGGTACTTTCCAATCAGTCAGATTTGCAGTTGATCTGTTAGAAAAGAATCCAAATGTACCTGTTGACAATCAGTCATATAGCACAATAATGAAATGTTATGCAAAAAATGCAACTGAAAGTGAATTCAAAAGTCTTGCAAATGTGCTGGAGAAACGAGGTTGTGATTTATATGAATTGGAATTACATAAGTTTTATCATGATTTGATACAGCAAGTGAAGATTGATGATGAAAAGCTTTGGTCTAAGATTTTGGAAATAAGGTCAAATTTGTCAAAGAAACCTTATCTTTTGAATAGTTTTTATTTGGAAATGATGTCAATATTCTCTTACAAGTTAAAAAGAAATGATATGTTCAAACTTGTGGAGCTTTTATCAGAGGACTCTATTGAATTTTCTGATGAATTGAATAACATCTTGTTTTCATTTTTCGCCAAAGTTGGTGATGTTGATGGATTACTTGTTTATTTTGCATCTTTTAAAGATAAAAAAATCCATATCCAACCTCAGTTTATTTATTCATTATGGAGAACTTTGATAACTAAAGAACCTGAATTAGCAAAAATTGTTACAGATACCATTGAGGAATTCATGCATAAACATTATTTAACTGCACAACTGGAGAATAAATTTTTGAAAGCTATATCATTAAGAAATAAGATGAGGAATTCATTGCCTGATTACGTTCCTGCAGTTTCTGATAAAAGATTAGCTAGAAGCTTAGAAGTCTTGAATGATTTGCTCCACCAGAAAAAAGATGCAGAAATCATTGTATTGATTAATGATAGATTAAGACAAGGTTTGAGACCGGAATTCCCATTATTAATGTCTGCTATGGTTGGATTAATAAAGATAAAATCACCAGAGATTCTTATTCTCTACAAATTGGGATGTCAATTATATACAGATATGATTGTTGATTTTGATTTGGTTTGGTTGAAAAAGACAATTTATGATTTGAGAGCTGAAAATAATAATGGTTTAAAGCTTTTTGACACGGGGAGTGCATTAATTGGTGATTTTAAATTGAAACATGGAGACAAAATGACACATTCACATTTTAATGATTTGGCAAATATCTGTATTGATATTTTCAATTATGATCTTGCTATTGAATTGTTGCAAGAATCAAGAGCATCAAGTGCTGAAGTTGAGAAAAGAAATAATCTAAATATTTACATCACGTTATTGAAAGCATTGGCTAGAAAGAAGGATTTACCAAATTACTTGCATGTTATGAAGTTATTTTACACTGATGACGATGTAAAACTTAGTACCTTTGGTATAAAAAGATTGAAAACTGGTAGACAATATTTCATCAAAAAGAACGCAGAGGAACCATTTGAAAATTTTGAAGAGTTTTTAAATCAATTTGATATACATCATGAAAAGATCAAGGAGAAATATACAACACAAAGAGAAGAAGCTCAAGAAAGTTGCAGAAATGCCATAGAATTTTTTGAGGAATGGAATAAGGAGACTTGAGGGGTGGAAGAGAACATGGAAAAACCATTTGATCATTATATTTATGGAGAGTGAGTTTCTCCATCTTGTACATATTACACATCATCATTTGCATAATTTGAATTTTAATAAAGATCTGTTGTTTTTACATTGCATTGGAGAGGATAGAAGAAAAGGGGAGAATTTGATTTATTAAGATTGGGTATCTTTATATCTATATATATATCACTTGTAAATACAATTATTAGATATTCATTTCTTAATTTTTTGTAATATGCTCTCTGGTCCCGTGACCTGAGCGTCTCGAAACTTAAATTTTGTTAAGAGCCGTCGCATCTCGTTTTTTTTTTGAAATGTCACATAAATTTTTTTAGAATTTAAAACTCTCATGCTAATATTCTATTCTTCTTTAATCCAAAACTTGTGAAATATCTTAAAAGTTTGCTTTCAATAGAAAATATTCAGTAAATCATGGATCAGTCAATAGAGAAGGTGATTCTGGAAGCTGTAAGTTGGGAATTGTGAAGATGAGATGAAAGTTTGCCCTTGAAAGATCAAATACTAATGATAACCATCTCTTAGGAGCCAAATTTAACTAACCATTTGGTTAAAAAGACACTAGAGTCCACGCTATGTCCAATTTGTCAAGATCATATGTTTGTGCCGTTTATGACAAAATGTGGTCATAATTTTTGTTATGAAGTGAGTATTCCCCAAAAACCATTGTGAAAGCTTTCAGCTAACTTTTTAGTGTATAACGAGTTGGATACAAACAAATCAAACATGTCCTGCATGTCGAAGTGAATTGGTGGAGGAGCCTTATTTAAATGTTCATGTTCAAGATATGGTTAATACGTTGGTGGATACATGTCAAAAAATATCATCATTATCACAGAATGTTTTAAGAGATCGAGCTTTGAAAGTTAAACAATACAAATTAGATGTCACACATGATAATTTGTTTAAAAGAGTTTTCAAAAGTACGGGGCATGCCGTTGTTGATATTTCGGATGGTGTTGCTAGATGTAGTAATTGTCATTGGGAAGTTCGTGGGAATAGATGTCCAAATTGTCATATTCATTTGAGAAACACATATATAGATGAGATATCATCTGCTGATACGGATTTCTCTGTTGATGATTTTAGAGGTGTTGATTTAGAGCTTGAATCGGGTGATAGTAGTGATGATGGGTTTAATATAAATCGTGATATGTCTGACGGAGATGGAGATTTTATTGATGATAGATCTATAGGTGAGATGGAGATTGCGGATGTCAATCCAGAGCTTACTGATGCTTCAAGAGATTCTTCACCAGTGAGGCAGCCAGGAAGACGGTATGTTCCAACATTTATAGATGATGACGAGCCTTGGGAAGATGGGCAGAGTAGTACACATTCAGAATATTATGAAACATGGAATGGGTTTGAAGATGATGTTCACCAACCGTTCCCTATAATCGATGCACCAGAGGATGCAAATTCTGACGATGATGAGGACTGTGTAAGTCCAAGAAGGAGAAGGTGAGTACAATGTTTTTGAAATTGAAAGAAGATTTTTACTAACAATATTTTAAAATAGAGCAGTTAGAGTATTGGATGATACAGATGAGTCTGATGGGGTATAATATCAAATAGACAATAAAGCTTTGAAGTTTATTTTGTTTTGTAATGTTCCTATTTTTTCAACATTTATCTCCACAATATCACCATTTTTTAACCACTTTGGTGGTTTGAATCCACTTCCAACACCTTGAGGCGTACCAGTAAACAAGATATCACCAGGTAATAGTGTTGTTCCTTGAGATAAAAATGAGATTAACTTTTTAACGTTGAAGATCATATCATTAGTGACACTATTTTGTCTTATTTTACCGTTGATTTTCGAACTTATTTTCAAATCATTTGGATCTTGAATCAACTCTGGTGAAATAATTGCAGGACCAATAGGTGCCCAGGTATCAAACATCTTACCTGTTGAGAATTGACTTCCACCTCTTTCTATTTGCCAAGTTCTTTGAGAAACATCATTACCAGCAGTATAACCCAAAACATAATCTAAAGCTTTTGATTCTTCAATATCGGAACCTTGTTTCCCAATAACAACAACTAATTCAGCTTCATAATCGATTCTGATATCTTCAATCTGTGCCACTTTGGGGATAATAATATCATCTGAGGGGCCGTTTAGGGTAGAGACTGGTTTATAAAAGAGACATGGGTATTGGGGGATAGGTAAATTGATCTCAATAGCATGTTTTTTATAATTCATCCCAATCATACGGATAGTATGAACTAGACTATGATCCAATGGAGGTAATAATTTATCAATTGATAACACTTCATCGGTCACTTTATAGTTTCCAAAGATGTTTCCTGATATCTTGTATGCCTCAGTAGCTAATCTTGGATCTGACTGTTTAGTTTGCAAGATGGCATCTCCAAAGTATGTTTTCCCATCACTAGCGATGAATCTGACAAGTCTCTAATTTTGTTTGTTAGGGGGAGGTTCCTGATAGTAGCCATTGCACTCACTTTGAATGTCATTATCAACCAGTCAATTGATCATTATAGAGACCATTAAAGTACCAATTCATGTTGTAATTAATTAATTATGTCTTCGAAGCCATAGTTTTGAGTGTCACCAGCCACAGACTGCCATTTTCTCTGTGGCTAGTGCTTTCCTCAACTGTGGCTAGTGTCCTTGTGCAGTGTGTCGCGGCGTCGCAGTTGTGCGCTGACGGTTTAAAAATTGAGCGTTGATTGGGCAGAAGAAAACTGGGAAAAAAAATCAACTAACTTTTAAATGGTGTGTTATCATTCTACATCCACAACAACGTCAATACACAACAACCAAGAGTAAGTGGTCTCAATTAGTGGTAGAAGATGGATTAATCAATCAAGATAATCCATTATACCTCTTTTTTTTCTGAATGAATTACTAACAGGTGAATTAATAGTGGCTACCAACAGAGTTATTGAATTACAAAAATTATACCAATCATCCCCAAAACCATTATGGATGAAACACCCAAGATCTAAATTCTACATCTATCCATTCTGGGCTTTATTCACTGGTGTCACTGCCATCAACTTATACTACACTGGTCGTGCTATCTTAGGTATTAAAGATCCAAAGAAATAAATGAATTGAAAAAAATGAAGAAAAATACATCCTAATATCATATATTCAATTTACAATCAACTAGTTTCAGAGATTCTACAATACAAATCAACAACCAGTGTCATTTTTTATTTATAAGTTTTAAAAAAAAAACAGAAAAGATTAAAATCATGAAGTCAATACATATTATCTATTTATGAAAGGAATCTGTGTAGTGGTTATGCCTCAGCTAATACTGAATCAATGGCTTCTTGGATACTGGTGGCAAATGTAAAAGCTAGATCATTAGTTTCCCGAGAAACTTGAATGAATTTTTCTTTAATCAATTTAGCCTTTGATATTAAATCCAACATATCAATTTGACCTAATCCAGCATATTTGTAACTCCATTTAATCAATTTTATAAATAACAATGTTGTATACATTGTACAAAGATGGATTTGATCAGATAAGCACAAGAAATAAACAATATCCTTAATCCCATTTATATGATCAATCAACCTTATTGAATGATAAATAAATTTTTTCAAAACTTCTTTATCTTTAATTTCATCTTCTTGATCTAATTCATCAATTTTCTTATCCCCACCAAATTGATAATGATACATTGCCACAAGATAGACATAATGATACCCAAATTCCACAAATTGTAAAGTTGGTTGTCTAAATAAATAATTCCATTGTTCATGCCATAGATTCAATTCTTGTTCAAAACTTTCAAAATCAGTATTGAAATGATTCCCAAGATCATTTGTTGTTGAGCCACTTTGTAAATAGTTATAAAGTAACAACTGTAATGAAATCTCACTAACTATTCTTCCATCAAAATTTGTAGCTTGTGAAAGATCTAAACTTTTCCTTGATTGATCTAATCTGATTTCATCCAATACACACATTCTTGAAGAAAAGACACAATTAACTAAATGGACAAGACAAATATGATTCCAAATCCTAAAATTTGACAACTTCTCACATTCTTGTTCAAGATCTAGAGATTCATGTAAATTATCAAGATTTAATAATTCAGAATCAACATCTAATGTGAGAAATTTTTGTACTGCAATACCTGATAGAAACCAAGGATCTATTGTGAAATCTGATACTGATAAAGAATAACCATAGACTGATAAAATCACTAATGCCTTTAAGAATTCTAAAGAATTTATTGGGTTTGAAATTTCTTGGAAAAGTTCCAATTTCAACTGTTTTATTAAATCCAAATAGAGCTTATTATCATGATTTGTTTGTTTTTGATAACGAAGACTTGTAACACAAATTGATGTTAATAAGATTGGTGATGAAATTTGAATAGAATTTATTAATTCCTCTGTTGTTATATTATTCGGCAATGAGATCCAACGACCATAACATTCTTTAAACTTGTCAACTAATGTAATAGCTTCCTTTATTGTGATTATCTCCAACGTTAACACACTTATTGGCGGAGTTGGCTTGATATTTGTTGGATTGAAAAGTTGTCGTATTGTTGAAGATTGACTAGATACGGAATTTGAAATCAATGTAAATGGACTAGTTTGGAAAGGTGATTTATGCTTCGTGGTTGTTGAATCATCTTCCCCTCTGTTTAATGATGTGATTGGGTGTGTCTTTGGTTGTAATAACGTTAAAATTTTTTTGACATTTTTATCTAATTCAATAATATTAACACCATCTATAGTGGTTGAAGTATCAATCGCACTGATTGATCTTTTTCTATTACTATTACCACTAGATCCTGTTGAAGCATTACCACCACCACCAGAAGAAGAATCAGCACCACCATCTTTTAGAAAACTGCAAGGTCTTGATAATGATTGACATCGTAAACAAGAATTCGAATCATTTGAAGGGAAACATCTAGTCTTTTGACGACGACATGCTAAACATGCCTTAGCAGCTCTTGGAACGTGAACGTGTTTTATCTGTGTAGGTTCAGTCATCTCGAATCTCCAAAACTTTCCAAAACTTCTTCAGAGAAAGACTTGATCTGTGTTTTTATATTGATTTTGATTGTTTACGTTGTCGTCTCCATGTTTGGATCCGGAAATTTCAGGCAATAAAAAAAATATCCGCGAAATTGGGTTCCTCCGAGAATCGAATTGAGATTTGGAGGGCGCCGGTGGGCCTACGGCATGCCGACGGGTGTAATACACTGTAGGACGTTGGTGATTAAGAGATTGGGAAATTGATGTGTTAAAAGGTGAAGATGTGAATGGAGATGGAGTTCTGCGAGGCTGGGTTGTAATGTTGTAATGCATTTTTCAGCTGGTCAAAGCTTCAAATAAACCAGCTGAATATATCAATATTGTATGTAGTTATCAAGATCTAGCTGATTCTCCGTCAATAACCGACGCTATAAACATAACGCAAGGAACTACAAAATATAATAAATTACATAAAATTGAAACGTATAAATAAGAAAAGTATAAAAAGAGAGAGATCAACTACATGCCATAAACCTTTATGACAATTAGATGAAAAAAAAAGGGGTGAAAACAACTGAAATCAATCAATCAGTAAGTTTCAATTGTCACAAGAGTTCCAATTTAATACAAACTATCAATGAAAGATCCAGCTGTAAAAAACACCTCGCGTTATTATCCCCAAACGACAATCTAATAACAATCAAATCATCTTCCACTTCAGCCAGGGCCCTTGACTTTCAGTTTCATCCTCAATTGCAATCATCAATATCATTTGTTTGAATGGAATAACAACTATAGATCAACTGATCTAAATTATTAGGCTTCAAGTTCATGTTCTTTTACAATTGTGTTTTTTTTTTTAAGGTTTTTGGCTTCTTGTAAACTTCTTATGACTTTTGACTAGTTTCAAAGAAAACATTATTCTACCAATAAATTGGCATCTTGAC